AAGATGGAGACAAGTTGTACTATCATAGCCCGGGCTCAAGAGAGGTTTCAGTGCGCGCTAGGGTATAATGCGGGAATCGTTGGGAGACTGGGCAAGCCTGGGGCTTTTAATTCTGGATCGGGGAGCTCGGTTTTCTGTACCAGTGGAATATGGCTTCCGCTAGACTCAGGAGAGACAGCATAAAGACGAGCGGGTGGCTCTTTGCGTTCAGTATTGCTATGGCTTTTATTACTCAGGGGCCGACGGGCAGACTCCCGTGCTTGTCTTACTTGAGCTAGAAACAAATCGGCACGATAAAAAAAGGTGCCCGACGAATGTTATGATTTATTCAGGGATGAGCGCGGTGTTATATATATTTTTTGTTATTCGTCCGGAAGGCGCATACTTAGCCAGCCAGCATTGCAAAGCAAGACGTATTTGGTATATATCTTGAGCATCTTTTGGCGGTTTTCTCAAAGTCACCCGCCCGGCGGAAATCCCTCAAACGCCATCCGCCTGCTTGCCTGTCAAATACATATCGATTTTTCCCCAACCAAGTCATGCCAAAAAAAGAACACCTTTAAATGCTACATGAGACCTTTTAACGTTGTGTGCTCTCCCCCTTTTCTTCCGTCATTGCTTCGTCTAGAATGGGCGTAACACGTCTTCCGCGCGGCGACGAATTCTCACCGCTTCCGCTCGCGCACCTTGAACTTCTTCCCGGACTTCGTGACGCCCCCGACCGTGGCCGTCTTGGCCATCCGGGCGCGCTGGATCTCGAGCTCCTGCTCGGTCTGCGCGAGGACGCGCTGCTTCTTCCGCGCGCCCTGCAGGCGCCGCCGCAGCTTCTCCAGGAGCCGCTGCTTCTGCTCCGTGCGGAGCTTCTCGGGGTTCTCGCCCGCCGGCCCCCCCTCCCCGTCCCCGTCCCCGTCCCCGTCCTCGTCTTCGTCCTGCTCCACGTCCTGCTGTATCCGCTCCTCGCGCTCGTCCTCGCCGTCCGCGAAGACGATCTTCTTGTTCTTCTGGGTCGATTTCTTCTTCTTCTTCGCGGCCGGCTCGTCGTCGTCGTCATCTCCAAAGTCAAAGTCAAAGTCGTCTCCGTCCGCCTCATCCTCGTCGAGCAGGTTGTCGGGGTCCCCGCCGAGGGCGATGACGCGCTCCTCGAGCGCGCGTACCTCCTTCATGGCGACGTTGCGCACCGTGCGCACGTAGGCCATGTCCTGCGTCTTGAGCAGCCGCACCACGTCCACGTCGAGCGACTTGTTGCCGCGGTCGCCGGCCACCGTGCCGTCCCACTTCTTGCTGCCGCTCGCGAGGGCCGTCGCGGGGCCGCTGCGCGAGAGCATGCCGTAGTAGAATTCCTGTATCGCGCGGGAAGAGACGCATTAGGTGGGCTGGTTCGAGTCGAGCAACATTGCTGGGTCTGCCAGGGGAAGGCCCGGGGGGGTTTTTCGCTCACATCTTCATTGCGGTCTTCGGCCTTCTTCCGAAGATTCTTCAGCTGTGCCTTCTTGCGGTTGTGATCCTGCGCGCGGAGCCGATAATCCTGTTCCCTGGTTGTCAGCACTGCCGTAGACCGAGATGGTCCCAGCCGGCAGGGGCGAGGCGGGCGGGCATGCGCACCTTGTGCTTCTCGAGGAGACCGTACCGGCCCTTGCGGTCTTGCAATTGATCTCGCTCCCGGTGTACACGCCGGTTCACGGCGTTCCGGAGGGATGACATCGTGACTGTGCTGTGGCCCTCTGAGGTATCGTCGTGTCGGTGGGATGTTGATGTTGTTCTGGGAGCCGTAGAAATTTAGGCCCTGCGATTAGGCGATAAGAAAGCTACAACCAAGGTACCTAAACTTAGGTACTTGGCGGGGAGATCAGGTAACCTACTTGTGGCTTATATAAGCCTTAGCCACATCCGCCAGTATAGGTAGGTCCTGCCAGCGTATACCAGCAGTCACTCGTCTACTTATCTATCTTGGTATTTCCTCAACCAAGGAAACCATCTTCCAAAATCAACCCAAATGAATTGCTTCGAAGTAATAACAGCAAATTATCTCGTGTTATATTCACCTTGTTGACTCGTTGTCTCTAATTGATCAGTCGTCTCAACCGGAGTACAATGCACTTAGGAGCCCACGCCTATTTGAGGACAGCACTAACACAATCCTACATCTTCGTCCTTGTCTCTAGCACTGAAGGCGGCTAAGACGAGCTATATAGGTCATGATCATCATAAAGATACGTAATACACAGTTGGTAGGTAAGGAAGTATGCGCCGGGTAAATTGCGTCGGGACTCGTTACCTTCCCCAGGCACCCTCGGAACGGACCACACCGGCGACCTGATGCATCTGAAATTCAGTCGCCCTGAAAACTACTGCTCTCAGAGTTTCACGCACTGTTGTTTTGTCATGAATTCATCACTAGAATACGCTTTCTATGAGTTATACTCCTCTTATCTCCTACAATGGCCAAGAAGTCTTCTGCCAGGGTGGCTCCCACCACCAGTAGGAGCCCGACCACCGCATCAGTTGCTGTTGCTACTGTCTGCATCGTGGTAATTGCATGGCTATTCAGCCCGGCGTCTGAAAAGCTAAATTCGCTGTACTCCACGTCGCCGTCCGCAAAAACAAATTCGTCATCTGCAAGTAGTGATTTATTGTGCGAAGATCAGAGCTACAAAACCGAGCTCATCTCACTCGACCCGCTCGTCATTTATATTCGCGATTTCTTGAACACGAAGGACATTAATAACGTGCTACGGATCAGCGAAGGCCGCTTCAACCCCTCAGTGGTGAATCAAAACGGGAGAATGATCCAGAACCCGTATCGCACCTCGTTGAGTGCCGCCTTACCGGCCGAAGATCCAGCCGTACAATGTGTACTTGAGAGGTCGAGAAGGTTTCTCGGGACTGTACTCGACCCAAGCGAGGACGAGATGGGCGTGCCACAACTTGTGCAGTACACCCAAGGACAGGAGTACAACCTTCACCACGACTGGATGCGGATACCGCAGCCAGCATTTGATGGCTCGCCGCGGTCGTTCAATCGAGTCGCCAGCTTCTTCGTTCTACTGCAAGATAACTGTACGGGGGGCGAGACTTGGTTCCCATTCATAAAGGCCGTGTCGCCGCAGCCGACTGGAAGTGGCGAAGGGCGATTATGGCGTGAGCACGAAGATGGCGGCCTCGCCTTCAAACCAGTCGCCGGCAACGGTATATTCTGGGTCAACCTGTTTCCTAACGGGACTGGCGACTCACGAACCGTACACGCCGGCTTACCAGTCACCAGTGGTTTGAAGACAGCGATGAACATCTGGCCACGGCAGTACCGTCCCAACCCGCAGTGAATCTCCAGATAACGTTTTCAATCGATCTTCGCAAACATTTATTCTCATATCCAGCATACCCACACCAGAACGAAGATAATAGGATGATATCGGAATTGTAGGGTGGAAAAGGATACACGGGGTGACGACAGAATCTTGCTCAGTGTCCCGTAATCAAAGATGTAGGATACCGACTGGTTTGTCAGCAGGTAGACCGGCAGGTTCCATGAATGGCAAATACACTGCATATTAGCTTCAAGAAATACAACTCTCAAAGTCATGGTGCTGGTATTGGTGGGTATAGCTCCGGTGCGGAGTTACGAAATCGGAGTAGCCTACTTCATTCAGCTGGGTATGTCACGTCATAAATCGGCCTATGCAAGAAGGTAAGCTCACGCGAGATCCGACCACAGCGCTCGCTCGCACACAAATTCATCATCACAATCTCGTTATATCTGATCCATAGTCCGAGCCCAACATGCCGCTCCCAGATGCCGAACTACACCCCGTCGCAACTGGTCTTGCGAAGGAGACCGCCGATGTAAGACTTCTTGTCATCATCCATCTTCATCTACCGGTATTAATGACCGGCATAGGATCACTCAGCGCAGCAGGAACTTAAGCTGTTCGCAGGATGGTTCTGCCCCTTTGTTCAGCGAGCCTGGATCACGCTCGAAGAGAAGGGAATCCCCTATCAATACATCGAGAGTTAGTCGTCACATGAGCGTTAGCCTGCGGCATGACAACACGTCTGCTCACGCATAGCACAACTAGTCAACCCCTATCACAAGGGTCCCGAACTCATGCGCTCGAACCCCCGCGGTCTCGTGCCGACCCTAGAAGTCGCGCCCGGCAAATCGCTGTATGAGAGCACGGTCATCTGCGAGTACCTGGACGAGCATTACCCGGCTCACGAACCACGCCTGCTTCCGGCAGACGACTACGAGCGCGCGCGGTCGCGTATATGGATAGACTACGTGACGACGCGGGTCCTCCCGGCGTTCCACCGCCTCTTGCAATTCCAGCCGACGTCGTACGATGGTGACGGGGCCGCGCGGCTGGACGAGCTGCGCGCCGAGCTCCGGCGGTGCCTGCTGGAGTTCGCCGGCGCGATGGCGGACGCGGCGCAAGGCCCTTTCTTCGCGGGGAGGGATTTCAGCCTCGTGGACATAACGCTGCTGCCCTGGGCCGTGCGGCTCTGGATCTTCGACGAGTTCAAGGGCGGGCTGGGCATCCCGGAGGAAGGGAAGGGCGGCGGGGACGAGGCGACGTGGGAGAGGTGGCGCGTCTGGCTCGCTGCCGTTGGTGAGCGGGAGAGCGTAAAGAAGACGACGAGCGACGGGGAGCATTATCTCCCGATTTATAAGCGGTATGCTGATGACACTGCGTAGTCTGAGCTGGCTAAGGCGACCAGAGCCGGGAGAGGGGTGCCTTGAAACGGCATGGAGGCCATCATATTTCTAGGCATCCCAGTTTGAAGAACAAGTAATACGGGAGATTTTCATCATAGTGGAATTCGTCAAGCCCCTCAGATCCTACCTCAACTCGTCCGAGGCCTCCATACGTCAACTATGCGATCAAGGAAAATCTGCACAGAAACCAAAGCCAATAAGGTAAAGTTTTCATTTTGGAAATAAATAACGTAAAAAAATAAGAATACGATTCACACACTGAGGAGCGCGAAAGGTTAAAAAGGAAATTCGACTAGGGCCTGATTCGAACAGACGCTCCCGAAGGAAGTAGATCACAATCAATTGATTCGAGTCTACCGCGTTAACCACTCCGCCACCTAGCCGAGGTTACCGAGTTGGATGACTACTCGATAGAACGATACGAACATAATACACCTCATAGCTATTACCAGATACCTACTACCTACCGTAGGTATCTACAGATCATCACAAAGCAACGGAAAGCAACGAGTCGATTCGTTGAACAAGGTATATTGGTATCAATGCTGGTCCGTCTCTCTGTCCCCCTTAGAACCAAGAACTCTGCCATACATGGTGTAAAATCTATACAGTTATGCCGTCAAGAAACAATGCGCCATCCGATTATGCAGTACAAGAGAAGATGCTTCCACCCGTCTATTTTCCTTCCCTCAAATTACCCCCGACATTCCATCGCCGTCTCAGTCGTCGGCATCACCCAGCACCACTCCGAGCCATGATACGCTCGTTTTAGCGGTTATGAAGTTGGGTCGTCCTGAGAGGGATCATCTGAAGTTTGGTCAGGGTTCGAGGGGTCGTCTGTGCTGGGACAGCTATTCTCTTGATCTAAAAGCTCGCGCATTAGTAAACTAGATGCGACGCGCATCACGGGATAATCGCAGCGATGAGACTTACAGCAAGACAACATGCACTCCGCGCACTTGAGAAGTCCCTAGTTAGCAATCGTCGCTATTCCTAGAGGGACGCGATACCGCTGCGGTATAGGTCTGGCTGGGATGAGTTGCTGGGTATTACTTACTGCCTGCGCCCCGTCTATGCACTCCCCAACACACTTCCCGACACAAAACTTAGCCCCAAAGCCGCATGTGAGCGCGCTGGGCTTGGGGGTAGGGTTGACGAGCGGGAGAGAGCGGAGTAAATCGCCGTTGAGCAGCTCTCCGAGTGTATTGAGTACCAAGTTCGCAAGGTTGTCTATGAGAGGAACCCCGGACTGTGGTATCGGCCTAGAGTAAGCCACCACTGCGAGGAGGGCAATAAATGAGCTGGGACGCATGTTTGCAGGTGTTGCGAAGAAACGCCTTTTGTAGAGATGATGGACACCGAAAATGATAAAGTGTCGAGACCGGGTGGCTTGTGTGTTTCCAAGGTTGCGCGGTGGAGTTGCTGTTGCTTGTGTTGAAGCTGTTCTAACATTCATCTTCAGACCTGCGCTCACAGCGACTCTTATATCTTGCATTGCGATAGACACAACTGCGCAAAAGGGAGGCTTTACACACGAAGGAATTGACTGTGGTAGGTTCACCCTCCACCGGGAACGTATTTTCGAATATAACGGCTGGAAATTCCTGACCGGCCACCACGTGGTGTGCTGCTTCACATGGTGAGATCTTGTCTCAGTCAGTCAGTCAGCCACCCCACAAATTCGATGGCTGCCGCATCGCAAATCTGGCAGCGCTGGTCGGATTCCAGTCCGTCCGGACTATAGAACTCGCATGGCTGGCAACGAAGGACTAATTAAACGGCGCAGCACTGCAGCAGTAAGGGTCATCTGGACCCTGTTGAATGTCTGGGCTGGTAGACCCCTATCGTCGCGGAGCGCCAGTAGTCGGACCCCTTAGTCCTTTACGAGCGGGGAGACCCCCAGCGTCATCGTGTCGCTGTCTCAGATGGACCAACGCGTCGCGCTCTATGCTTCTTAATCCGCGACCGACTCTCCCGGGCTCAAGTCAAACGCGTAAAGAGATCCCCTCTACTGCGAGCAACCAGACGCGTTTGAGACTAACTGCTTCGCCCTATCGTTAGAGTGCTGCCCACTCGAGTCTCTAGGCCATAGCTACCCACGGACCCCTAAGTCTTTATTCCGATGTGCATGTAAGTCCTCACAAGGAGCACCCGAACAATGGACTACCCTATACTATCCGTATGCCGAAAAGCCTCTCCGACGTCAAGCAAATCGAAAACAAAGGCTCTATACAGTGATTACTCCACTCCCTAACAATAAATACACGGCTAGGAGAATCTCAAAGTGTGCTTTCAATGGCAATCTATCAAAGACGGCCCTAGCGTCTTTCTCCTCAAGGGGACAAGGTCCTATTTAAGCCTATTCCCCCTCATGCTTCAAGATGTGCACCTCGTATCTTTTAGTCTATTTTTTTTTTTCAATCATCCACCTATCTATTCTCTACTTGGCTTCATCTCTTTTCTGTCTAGGTTCTTCAAGCCCTTCATTATAGAACTCATAACACCCACTCATTTCCGGTATACCAGACGCTGAAAGAAGAGCTAGACTCTCGAAGCTTCAGCCAAAGACTATACCCATAGGACGCACGCCATACATTCATTATCGTCGGCCATATTTGCTTCGAAGAAAAAAAACCACAAGTAAAAGGAAAACGCTTCCAACATAAAATTCAAACATGCAACTTTCAACTCTCTTTCTCACTTCAGCCCTCCTATCGCTCGGTAGCGCGAGCATCATCCCGGCATACGCGCGAAGGACGCCGGCGGCCATGGACACCCTGCTCCAGCCACAGATCTTCGCAGACGTACAAGTCGACCGACGGAAGGCTTTCGGCGGCGAGTCGTAAAGAGGGGGCGAACTAGGTCATTCCGACAACGAAAACTGCAAGGGCCGGCCCATTCTTTCTATTTCAAATGCTACATATATTTTTGATGGGTTGCTGGATCGGTGGCGCGCTCACCCGTTTCGACAGTACCCAACATACCGCTTTGACATCTACAGGGCTGGTGGGAGCGGTCTAGCTTGTGTGTGGTTAATGCCAATTGCCCGTGGCAGGGGACTAGTAAATCGGACTTAATATTGCTGAAAAGCCACCCATCGTCACTTTTTGTCGTGTTCCATGGTTGTTCAATTTGTCTCACATCGCACCATAACCATGAAATGGGAAATAGTACCAAATGTCCCCCACCGTAACGCCCTGAACTGGATTATAGGACCGCCACCGTATGTGCTAGTGCCTCAGCGACCCCAACCTACCGACTAGCGAAATGCCCACACCACGGCGGGGGAGTTTTATCGTGGGGTGAAACACGAAATAATTCGACTAGCATCATACTATGTACTGACGGGTCATTTGGGAGAGAAAGTCCACAGGTAATTAGTAATTAAATAGTAGATACATCCGCACGACCAATGTCGACGGGGTTTCTCGCCTTCTCGCCTCCCCGCCTCCAAATGCCACGATGCGGATAGAAAAAAAAAATTCCTACCGATGGCTCGGTTCGCTCGGTTCTGCGAATCGGCTGTCCAGCCAGCTCTCGGTCCCCAGGACCATCGTCCAGAGATGCCTAACCGACCGCTCGAGCTGCGCCAGCCGCGCCGGGGAATAGGACGCGCCGTCGTACGACCCGGCGTCCGAGTAGGAGGCCATGGCGCTCTCGAGGCTCTGCAGGTACTCGATGTCCTCATCTTCGAACCCGAAGCGCGCCCTGTCGCGGAACCAGTCCATCGCGTATTTCGCGGCGAGCCCGCCAGTGCGCCAGGTCGCACCGTCGAGCCACCAGCGTCCCGTTGCGGCGACCTATTTTCCGGGCAACGAGTTTATCAGTACGCGTTTTTTTTTTTTTAAGCTGCGCGACGATAGCCGGCGGAAACTTACATCAACTAGATCATTATTCTTCATGCTCACGTGTATAGTGACTATGCAACGAATCGCGTACCGAGCATAAGGGGTGCGAGCACAGCGGACGGGCCGTGCCCCGGTGGAATCCCGGACGGGCTGCTGGCCGATGCGGACCGCGAGGTAATGGACAAACATGATGCTCTGGAGGCTGCCGAACTCGGGAAACGCGGTCTTCCACGTGATCTCGGGCGGTATCCAGAAGCACTGGCGCCACCGCACCACCAGGAGATAGACGCGCTCCCGGGTCTCGGTCTGCCAGCCCGGCGGCTCCCGCGCGGCGCTCTCCGCGTCCGCGGACTCCTCGACCATGGTCTCCGATAAGTACAAGATGGCGTGGAGGACGATGTACTTCCCCGTTAGGGAGAGCATGCCCGGCAGCGCGGCTCGTCTGCCATCGTCGGATAACAAAGCATCCAGCACGCCAGGTAATGTCAACCCGCGACCACAGCTCTCGCTCCGCATGCTGCTCACCGACCTATCGCTTTCCCTACCGCTGCTATTTTTCCATAATGCCAAGAGTCGATTTGGGTCGCCCGGCAAGTCGAGTGTCTGAAACAATCGCGGAGGTAGTATCGTGAAGCCAAGCAGCATCGCGCGGGTCGCAGTACAGTAAAACTTCCAGAGCGTCCACCGAATCTCCTCTTGAGACGCCTCCTCGTGCTCCAGGGACGTATGGGCGGGGCCCCCAGCGGGCCTATCAACCAGCATACTCGCCAACTCGCGAGCTTCCCTGTAGGCCATCTCGTCGAGCATCGGCCCCACCCACTCCGGGTGCCGGTTATCCTCGGACCACTGCAGATAATCGAGGACGAGTATCTTGGTCTGGAAGTTGGAGAGCGCGTCTGCCCCCGAGGCCGCCGGCGAGGAGAAGGCCCATGCCTCCACGCGCCGCACGGCCTCGGCCCAGAGGTCGCCCGCCAGCGCCTTGTACTCCTTGATCCCCCTGGCGCCCAGCGCCGCCAGGAGGAGCGCGCGGCCGCTGCGGAGCCAGCCGGCGCGCAGCGACTGGGGCCGGATGAATGGGAACCACTTCAGCTGCGACTGGATAAAGTGCGTCATGCAGAATTTGATGGCCTCTTCCGACCCGGCGGGGAGCCGGCCATCGGCGAGGCGCACCATCTCAGCGCTGCAGGAGACGCAGACCGTGCCGTTAGGCATGTGGCACAGACACGCCGGTCCGTCCCGGCCTCTAGTGCTGTCCAGGGGGCCGCCGGTGGCATGATGATAATCAGGCGGTTCGGGTGGAGCATCACCGCTCCCAACCGAGCCGGAAACGGTCCTCAGTAGCACTAGGCTGGTACCGGGTGATGCGGCTGCGGGCGGCGATGACGATGACGACGACGACGACGACGGCTGCTGCTGTCGCTGGTGCCCTTCGAGCCGGGGCAGCGCCGGGGGCAGGGGTCCGCGGCGCGGCCGTCGACGCTTCTCAGCGTTCTCGGGCCTATGCACGGCCTCGTGGCGGCGGAGCACGTCGCGGC